ATGACACGGAATTAGGGAATGGGAACGGGAATTTGGGATCAGGGATGGGATTTAGGAATGGGAACGTGAAGTTGGGATTGGGAATTTGGAAATGGGGACCGAGATTTGGGATTGGGAACGGGAATTAAATTTGGCATTGAGCCGGGATTTGGGAATGGGGACGGGAATTTGGGAATGGGGATGGGAATTTGGGAATGGGGACGGGAATTTGGGAATGGGGACGGGAATTTGGGAATGGGGGCGGGAATTTGGGATCAGGGAGGGGATTTGGGGCCCGGGGCTGGGATCGGGATCTTTGGGATGGGGTCGGGAGCAGCTTCCGGTGGGGGTGGGGCTGTGGGAGCCCCAGAATTCCCTGTTCCCATCCCAAATCCCGTTTTCCTTTCTGCTTTTCCTGTCCCAAATCCTTTTTCCTGCTCTGAATCCCAATTTCCCACCCAAAATTCCCACTGTTCCCACCCCAAATCCCATTTTTCCCACCCCAATTCCCATTCCCATCCCAATTTCTCATCCCAAATCCCAATTTCCCGCTCCATACCCCATTTTCCCACCCCAAATCCCATTTTTCCTTCACCAAATCCCCTTCTCCCATCCCAAATTCCCGATTTTCCCGTTTCCAAATCCCAATTTCCCGCTCCAAATCCCATTTTCCTATCCCAAATCCCCTTTTCCTTCCCACTTCTCCTACCCCAAATTCCCAATTCCCATCCCAAATCCACTTTTACTTTTCCCACCCCAAATCCCCATCTTCCCACCCCAAATTCACATTTTTCCCACCCCAATTCCCATTCCCATCCCAACTCGGGCTGCTCCAGAGGGACTTGGATCGCTGGGAATTCCGGGATATTCCCATTTTTCCATAATTTTAGGATGAGTTTCCGCAGTTTTGGGCGTTCCTTCCTGGAAGAATTCCCAGATTTTGGGGATTTTTTTGGTGGAATCATGAAGAATTCCCAGGAAAAAAAAAGAAAAAAAATTGGGAGAAGAGGAACTTTGGAGGATTTTTGGGATCTTTGGATTCCTGGGATCCAACTGGATTTGGGGAGGGGAAAAGTCGGGAATTCCTGGAAGCAAAACTCGAACATTCCCCAAAAATCCCCGGTTTGTTTTTCCCCAAAATTCTTTTTTCCCCAAAATTCCGTGGTTTTTTTTCCCCAAAATTCCATCTCTTTCCCAAAATTCTGGATATTTTCCCAAGATTTCCAGATATTTTCCCCAAAATTCCAGCTCTCTTCCCAAAAATCTGTGGTTTTTCCCCCAAAATTCCATCGGTTTTTCCCAAATTTCTGTGGTTTTTCCCCAAAATTCCGGGTTTTTCCCAATAAACGCCGACGTCAGCACCGCGGCCTCGGGAGTGTCGGGAATTTTGTTGGGAATGGCTTGGGGTGGGGAGGGGTGGAAAAACCAACCCCAAATCTCAAAATCTTCCCAAAAAAACCTAAAATTAAAAAAAAAAATAAATCCCAAAATCCACCCAAAAAAAGCAGAAACTTCACCAAAACCACCAAATTCCCACAAAAAAACCCCAAAGTCGCCAATCCCAAAAAGCCCCAGATCCCAAAAAAACCCCCCCAAATCCAGAAACTTCCCAAATCCTTTAAAAAAACCCCAAAATATTAAAAAAAAATTCCCAAAATTCCAAACCCCAAACCACATTGCCCCAAAGGGTCCCAAATCCCAAAAAAGAACAAAATTAGAGAAAACCCCAAATCCCTAAAAAACCCAAAAGTTCAGGAAAAAAACCCAAATTTCAAAGAAAAAAACCAAAAAACAACAAAAACCAAAAAAACCCCAACAAAACCCGAAATCCAGGAAAAAAATCCCAAAAGCAAAACCCCCAAAACCCCAAATCTCAAACCCAAAATTTAAAAAAAAAACCCCCAAATTCAAAAAACCCAAATCCCAAAAAAACCCCCAAATCTCCCCCAAAAATCAAAACAAAACCCAAATCCCACAAAAACCCAAAACCCAG